TTTATACAGATACAAAGGACACTTGTGTGTGAAAGGTTCAGACTAACTCACTACAAAGTCCAGAAGCAACACTAGCTGAGTATATAGCAAACATACAAACATGCTTTATTTAAAATGCACTCATTGCATTTTAAATAAAGTGGGCTGAGGCTCAATTTGCATCAGTGCATAGTCACAGCAGTTTCAAAGGCCAGGGACTATTTTCCATCTTATCGGCTATCTCCTGGGGTGGGTCATAAAACCCTGTCTAGGGGGAAACACTAAGCAGATTCTTTACTGTTTCCTGGAACACACAGACATATGGGGTAGGGTTAGAGGGCCAGCAACATGGAATCTCTTTGGTTTCAGCCTTCTAGTGTAGAGTAATAACAGCTTCATGGCTGTTGCTTCATGTCATTGTGACTTTGTGGTCATTGTGACCCTCAGGCTTTTTCTGAGGCATGATTTTTCAGTAATCTAATTATGCACAATAGAAGAGTCCTCTTCCACGGCCAAAGATTTATTTAGCACCTCTTAAAATTCGAACTCCAGCTACTCTGCAGAAGAATGAACAATCTCCTCCCATTAGAATGAACTGATTCTGAAAACCTGCTGCAGGGTCAGATATGGGTCAATTCCATCTTGATGGTATACAAAATTCAAACTCATTGCTGTCATGTTAGAATTGATTCATAGTTGGTCCTCCAGTAGGCTTTCAGAGGTGGTAAATCACACAGGTTGTCAGTCTCTCCAGGATCTTCTAGTGGATTTGAACAGCCAGAGGTGCCACTGTTGGGTCAGCAGCACGACCACTCTATGCTATCACTATTTAGCTCTTCGTGTGCAAAATCACCCTTAAATCTTTGGGGAATTGGAGATATATGGGAGAAGCCAGATAAAACATATACCCTACTTCCTTGAAATGCATTTAGTTGAATGTTTGCTCTTTGAAAGTGTGGTGTATGGGGGACACTTCGTGGTTGGTACCACAACATTCAGCAAAAGCTTGTCTGTCTGAGGGTAGTGGTAATGGGACCAGAAAGGGCTTTTGACATTGAAAGGTGGGAGAGAACAATATAGAGAAGGCGCTGTGATATTCCCATTGGTGGAGACTTCAGGAATGAGCAGGGTCCCTGAAAGCATGAGAAGAAAGGGGATGTAGAGGGAAGCCTGCAGCCAGGTGCTATGGATTAAAAGGGGTGTAGTGTTCGGAGAAGGGCTGTACCACACTTTGGATCAAGGTACTTGTTTCGGGGATTAGGTAGAAGGAGGTGGAGCTAAATTCCCATGCTAATCTCCAGAGACTGTAGTCCACTAGGTTTAAAGAGCCATTGAAGGATAGGTGTTTAGCTATTTTGACAAGATCCAACAGACTTAGTTGATAATAACATGTAGGACTGATTTGATGAGAGACCAAACTAGTTTTCTTTGAGTTGCTTCTGACTCATGGGATCCCCAAGTGTGTCAGAGTAGAACTGTGTCCTGTACTGCACGGTTCTCAGGGGCTAGTTTTTCTAAAGGAGACAGCCAGGTCTTTCCTCTGATGTGCCTCTGAGTGGATAAACTTCCAACCTTTGGAAAGCAGTTGAGGGTGCACATTAACAGCTTCATCAGGGACTCTGATTTAATAGAAATTGTTGTTGTGTACTGTAGAGTCAGAACTGACCCGTAACTGACCCTCTGGCAGATTTTCAGAGGCAGTTAGTCATACGGGAGGAGATTGCCCATCCTTCTCCCACAGAGCAGCTGGTGACCTTGGACCACATGCCGTAGGGATTGCAGCACACTTTCTAGGTACTAGGCCAACAGAGCTCCCTTTTAATAGAAGAGCAACACAATTACAGAGGATGAGTGGAAGGAAAGATTTTGGGGGCTTAAAAAAATCCTTATTTTCTTCCTCTCATTAATGTTCTTTGACAGTGAGAGAAGAAGCAACAGGAGTGGAGTGTAAAACCGAATCAAACTGCCTTTGATCTGCACACCACTGGAGTCCCAGGGGGCACATGCTTCGCCAGCTGTCTGCAAAGCCATTGCTCAGTGTTAGAAAGACAACTTGAAAGAACAACACAGTAAAACTTTCCTGAGACCCTGTAGTGGATATTTCCTAAATATCAGAACCAATGTGGGGTGTCCGATTAAATATATAAGTGGGATCTAATCCACACGTCTTTGTAAGAAGAGACAACTCTGTTTGCAAGTCTGGTTTGTGCTCACTTCTGGGGGTATTTTCATTCCCTAGCTGTTTATAGGAGGCACTAGAATTCTTCAAAGCAGATGACAAGGGTTACACAGCAGACCCATTCCAGCTCTGGCAGGGCCCCAGGGGCGACGCTGAAGACCCAGGCTATTATGCTGGCATTCCTCAGGCTGAAAGTCTCATGGGATCCACTGGAATTCTTCCCATTTCAACTGCAAGTCAGAGAGTTCTTACTCTGCCACAGCTGACTCAAATTCGTCAGGCCTGACAAGAAAATTAAAATTTTAACAAACTCAAGCACTACAAAAATGTTAGACCATGGTGCCATAGGATTCTTTATTCTGTTGCTGCCCCAGATAAATGTAAAGTCTCTGTGTGTTTCAGGTTGAATTGTGTCTCCCTAAAATATATGTCAACTTGGTTAAGCTGTGATTCTCATTATTAAGTAATTATCCTCCATATTGTAATCTGATGTAATTATTCTATGTATTGTAAATCACAACATCTATGGTGTGTTAATACCATTACTGGCATCAGGGGCACTTCAGTCTTTTGAACAGACATCTTTGCTCTTTGGCACTTTACAGAAGCCCTTAGCAGCAGATTTACCCCATGCAAATCTGTAGAGGGTCAGTGAAAGAGAGGAAGATTGTCTAGGAGATAGATTAACACAGTGATTGCAACAATGAACTTGAGCATGGTGGAGATAGATGAGGATGGTGTGGGATAGGGGAAGGATTCAATCTGTTATTTCTAGGGTGGATACGAGTGGACGCAGTGGCCCTTAACAATGACATGATGTTAATGAGGAAGGATTAGGTTGTATTTTGAGTCAATCTCTTGCAAGATATAAAAGAGATTAAACAAGGGAGTAGTAATCCCAGGGTCCTGACTGCCACCAAGGAAGAAAAACTAGGAGTGGACTTTGACCTCCTTGTACAAAGAACCACCTAGTTTCAGGGAAAATTTGATGCCAAGACAGATAGAACTCACCAAGGTATGATAGGCACACAGATGTTAAATGGAGACAAGGAGCTTTCCCCAGAGCCAACACCCAACACCCAACACACAGACACAGCCAGCCCCTCCAGCTGGTAAACCCTTACTTTGGATACCTACGCTTCCAGAATGTGAGAGACTCAATGTGTATTTGCTAAACCCATCCACTGACCTTTTATAGCAGCGGTAGATAATTAAGACACTGTAATTTAAAAAAAAATTCTGATAGTCTCATGCAAAGAAGCAAGTGAAATTAGTTTCAATAATATTTTTATTTAACCCAATATACCCCAATCATCAAAATTTTTGCAATATAGACTAAATGTAAAAAGATTACTAGTGGGAAGAGTTTACTTATTTTTTTATAAAAATTCACTATGTCTTCAAAATCTGCTGTATTTTACACTTATATGAGCTATTTTGACTAGCCACATTTCAAGAGCTTGACAGCCACACTTGGCCAGTGGCTGCCATATTGGACAATGTAACTGAAGAGTAAAATCCTTACAAATCAGAATTGCATTTTCAGCTGTGGGACATAAAGGGGAAGGGATAGCTGGGGAGTTTGGAAGTGGTGATGGGAAGATTGGAATATTGGTTACTGACTTTTTTCTTTTTCCACCATTCTTAAAAAACTTCTATGACTATCCAAAAGGGAGAAAATTTGTCTGTGAGAGTGCTCAGGATGAAAGCCTGGCAGAAATACATCCTTAGCCACAAAAAGGCAAATCCTCTCGTCTTCTATTCCCCTACACAGGGACATGGAATGTGCTTAGCCTAAAGCTTTTATGTTAGCAAATATCTATGTCAAATACTTACTCCAAACCAGTTTATGGAAATATTTAGACTAAGCAAACTATTTGAAGAGAATAGAAAGCTGAATATGCATGTGCACAATTTCCTTGATCAAAGAATGTTAAGCAAAAACAAGAACCCAAAGCAGAAGTTGGTGCAATTCAAATGTCATTCCCCTCTGTTTCAGGACGAAGTTCTGCTCTATTTTCTTTATTTTGGGACTGATTATGCTGAATGACCTTGTCTCAGTTGAAATGGATTTACTCTTGTCTCAGTTGAAGTGAATTTGCTGCCAAGTGTTTCTTATTGGCAGGGTTGGGTGTACCAGTTCTGGGAACTGTGCTTTTGCAGAGCTGAGAAGCTAATTCATTAGGCTATTTTGCCGCTACTCAATTAAGGGTATTGGCTGGAAGACAACAGCGAAGCAGTCATTTTGAATCTTAAAAACCAGGAATTTAGTTCTTAATAGGATAAGCCTATGTCAGAAAATCTGACCATTGTCTTTCATATAAGCATCTCAGTGGACAAAACAAATAATTATGAATAGCAATCAAAGGTTTAATATTCAAATAGGACAGCATGAAAATGCCACTGATTCCAGTCCACACTCATAGTGTTCACACTCTTCTCAGTATATTAAATTATATGGGAGAAATACAGAAGTAGTTACTGGTTTGATTAAGCTTACCACTTTTCTGAGAAATGGGGAAGCTCAATTTTATCCTGTTTGAACAAGTTGCATTAGCATTGGGGTGCCTTTTTGCATTCATAAATCTGTCTCTCTTGGTTCAGTTTAAAACCAAAAGAGAAAGATAGGTTACTTTAGTTAGTTCATCCCAAAGCAAGGGCAAACCATCTTCAAGCTTTAATTTTCCCAATCATAAGTTTGGAATTACTTCTATTTGTAAAAATTACTCTAATATCCTCAGATGAAATGGTCCAAGAAGTAGACATTAGTATAATGAATCACTGTGCTCCAGGGGATAGGAAAGTCGCTTCATAAAGACTTTTTGTTGTACTTTTCCCCCAGCTTCTTTCAAGATGTCTACTGTTCATGAAATTCTCTGCAAGCTCAGCTTGGAGGGTGATGTAAGTATATCATTTTCACCTGTATACTATTTGAAAATGAAACATATCTCTGGATAACTTTGCTACTTCCCTATGTAGCCAAGGAAAATCGGGATAAGATTAAGATGATTACTGTTTGGCTCTTCCCTCTTCTTTATCACTGTATTACCAGTAGTTCAGCCTGAAACAAACTCCATGGCACTAGAAATTTCTTTTGCATCCTGATTTTTTTGTTGTTGATTGCCTTCAAGTCGAGCATGACTCATAGTGACCCTATGAACAAAAGGACTGAAGCCCCTCTACAACTATTGACATTTACCAAAGTTCATAGGGTTTCCAGAGGCCTATTATTTAAGAAGTAGATGCCACTCCTGCTTCCAAACCTGTCATAGTATGTTATTGTTGTTATGTGCCATTGAGTCACCTGCAATGTATATTGACCCTATGTACAGCAGCTCTGAACCCTTCCCTGTCCTGAGCCAGTCTCACTAACTCCGACACACCAACCCTCAGTCATTATATCGATCCATTTCATCTGGGGTCTCCCTCTCCTGTGTTGTCTGTCCACCCTCCCGAGGCATGATGTCCTACTCCAAGGACCAATCTTTCCTAGCTACGTGCCCAAAGTAAGTGAGGCAGAGCTTCAGAATCCTAGCCTCCAAGGAGAGACTTGGTTTCACCTTCTCCAAGACAGACCTATTTGTTTTCTTGGCAGGCCATGGTATGTTCAAGACTCTTCTCCAGCACCATAATCATATTAAATTGGAAAGATCCAGTGACACAGAGATGACTGTCATTCTACTTTCTATACTTAGTATGTCAGTAATAAAAATTATTATGATAATAATGTGTAATATCATGCCACAAGACTGACAAAAGTAACTTCCATATCAGACATTATACTATGTTAACTCAACTTACAGGATCTTAGCATCCAGGAAGCTATTTTGAGAAAGGACTTGTTTTTTGTCTGATTTAGGAGCTGGGAAAGCTTTTCTCCAAGAGAGCTAGGATTTTTATTCTTGTTTTTCCTTAAAACCGATAACCAACTTATTACAATTTACCATCTTTCCTTTTTTTTTGCTTTGGCTACTAAGGAACTCTTAATGAAAATGGAATTGTTCTTTATTACAAATATGTAAAATTGGAAATTCTGATGCGTTGGCTTCTTATTTTTATGGTTAAATTTTAATCTGTCTATGAAATGAAAAATTGTTTCTAGTACTTCTAGAACAAGGTAGAATATGAGTTATGAATATGTAAAAAATCTAATAATGCCATATACCTTTAGGTCATCTTGACAGAAGTTTATTTTAGAAGAACTTAGAACTCTGAATGTTTTCTGGCGATATCCTGCAGAATTCTGTAAAGTACGGTCTTGGTGAGATTACAGTGTAGCAGAGGGCAACTTGACAGAAGCTTAAGTTGTCCTACTGACTCTCTGTATTATTATGACACTTGCCATCTGCACATTTAGTGTGTATGGGTCTCTGCACCAGACAGGTTTTATGCAGGGTACAACCTAGACAGGTTATATAGAGGATACAGCCTCTCCATTTTAGTCTCTCTTCTTTTGCAACATATGCCTGTTGTCAACAGTGCTAGTTGCATGTTAAGGACCAGACAAGTCCAGATGCTGAGTAGTTTGTTTTTCTAACAGATTTAATCCTTTGATCATTTCCTATTTTCTCATGAGAGAGCATTCCATGCACTTTTTTAAACTTTTTCACTGTAGCCTGACACATTTTTCTATATGGAGATATGGGAGTGAAATAGAATGTCACAGAATCCCCAGCATCTTTAGGGGAAGAAAAAAAAAAGATCACTTTTGCTTTGATAATTTGATGTTAAGATAGGCTGATTTCAGAGGTAATGGCTCAGTTATTTATTAAATGTTGTTTCCAAAGATACTGTAACTTTGCACTAAACTTTTCCCCACCACTGTTGTTTTTGGAACAATCAGTGCATCTGTCCTCTGGTAAATGAAACCACATGTGCAATGGTTCCTGGCCACACTGCCTGCCTATACATAATTGATGGCTCTGTTAATAATTGGGAAAATATTTTCTTTTATATTTCCATCTATATTTTATAGCCAATGCAGTAAGCCAAAATGACAACTGTGCTTGTAGATTTTTCCTGAAAATATGTCCCATTTCTGTTCTGTTAACCTTACTGGAAAACTTAAAATCAAAAGGAGGAAAAGAACCTTGACCATCCATTTGTGTTTCAGAGCTATAAATACTATTTACTTATTTTCCCAAAATGATCTTCAGAAGAACATTTCATCTAAACGTGAGGTTGGGTTTTCAGGTTGTCTTGGAGACATTTGAGATGATTCCATCTTAGTTACATATCTACACATCCTCACTGCCACTAAATTCAAATAGTGGAGGTGCTGGCGTGACCAAGTCTGTGGTTGGGGAGTGAATTCAGAGCACCTCAGTCTCCTCACTCTTCACAAAGACTGAGCCACGGTGAAATCATCGCCTTACGAGTGGACATTAGGTAGCGATACTAGGGGCTGTGGTGCAGTTGGAGCTTTTCATGATAGGGAGCTTTGACTTTGATGGTGCCTCCATCATCCACTAGCCTGCCAGAACCACATTTTCCACTCTTCTTTATCCTCCCTTTGCTTTGAAGGATGGGGAGAAGGATCAGGAAATCAACAAGAGTATTTTAAAGATCTAGGGAAATTAGCATCTTGGGAAGAAGAACCGAAGTAGAAGCTTGCTGTTACCCTTACCTCAGTGGGATAGAGTGGAGAGAATCCTGCCAGTCAGATCAGGAAGGCATTGAAAACCATTGGAAAAGTGAGATGGTTTAAAATACAATAAGAAAGAAAGTACTAAGAGCCAGAAAGGATAGTGCTAAAGAAAGGAAAAAGGAGGACACCTGAGAGAAATAGGAAGTTGGCAGACACAGAGAGAGGGGATGTGGGTTGCGGGGCCAGACCACCTTCCTGCCACAGGGGCGGCCACAGAAGAGTGGTAGAAGAATGAAGCTTCTGCTCGTGCTTCATCCAGATGGTCAGAAACAAGCTGCCAAACATTTCACATTTGCTTTTTAAAGGATCATAAGCTCGGTAATACATGCCCAAGTTCATGTGCTTGTGGCATCAACTTGGCCAGACACACTTGCCATTCAGGTATTTCCACATTTTCAGCTTGTTTCGAACTGTCGCCGTCCCATTTTAATGCACTTTAAAGCCTTTTGAATAAATTCATGGTTCGGGTCCTCAGCTTTTTACTGTCTTGTTTTTGAGCTTCCACTGGAAAGAAAAGTAAAAGTGAAGTATGCTTAGATATTTATCTAGTTACCTAGGGTAAGAATGCCTTGAATTGTTAAAAGAAACAATGGACAAACACTGTATTTGAACAATTATTTCTTTAGCACCAGGGTCTGAAATGTGTGCTCTATGAGTATGCTTGTCTTTAACCCTCAGCACTCCACACCCGCAAGCGCATACGGATCAGTCAAGGCGTACACCAACTTTGATGCAGAACGGGATGCTTTGAACATTGAAACAGCCATCAAGACCAAAGGTGGGTCCTACATTTGCTCTCCTTTTCACAACATCTGACTAAGGCATTTTAAGGTTATGTCTTCATTCTCCCTCAAGTAGCCATACATGAATCAGTTGAAATTTGCATGGGACTTGAACTGATGGCATCCAGATCTACCTTGTCCACACCTCTCCTTCCCTCTTTCTGAGTCCCTTCCTCCTCCTCCTCTTCCTCTTGGGATAGAACCAGCCAATTGTCTTTGAGTGGACTCTGGTTCCTGGTGGCCCTGTGAGTGTCAGGGTCTATCTTCCATTGAAATTCCTCAGGGTTTTTAGGGGCTCGTTATTTTAGGAAGTAGGTCTCTAGATATTTCTTCTGAGACATCTTTGGATGGACTCTAACGGCTTCTATTTTGGTTAATAGCTGAGCCCATTAACTATTTCCACCACTAGTGGTTCCTTCTTGGACTAGAAGACGACCTAAAAGGTGAGAAAATGTTTTCTCCAAGAACTAGAATAATAAAGAAATGTTGGTAAATGCTGTTCACTTGACACTGGTTCAAAGTGACCCCATGTACAATGCAGTTGATTCCTGGACCATCCTCACAACTCTTGCTGTGTTTGAACCTATTGTTGTAACCACTCTGTTAGTCCATCTTGACGAAGGTCTTCCTCAGTTCTACTGCTCCTCTATTTTACCAAGCATGATGCCCTTCTCCAAGGACTAGTTCCTCCTGATAACATGTCCACAGTAGGTGAAGCCTTGCCACCCTCACTTATAAGGAGCCTAAGGAGAATTTGGCTATATTTCTTCTAAGACAGAGTTTTCCATTCTCTCAGCAGTCTGTGGTATATTGATTCTTCTTGACCTACAGAACAGCTTAACTGTGTCAATTCTTGGACTTTATTTGGCCAGATATTGAAAGAATACCATGGCTTGAGTCAGTTCCTTAGTCCTCATAGTGATATCTTTGGTTTTTAACACTTTAAAGAGGTGTTTTGTAGTGCACTGGCCAAATGCCATACATCATTTGGAAACAGGTCATGGTAAGAGCCTAGAAATCTGACCCCATGGGCGTGTGCTTCAAATGGGCTTTGTCTCATTCTGTTCTAGATGGAAAGCTGGCCAAGAGGATTCCTACGGGCCTTTCCCATTCCAAATCTTGAAGAGAATTCTGTTTATTCTGTTTGTTGATGGAATAAGATACTAGGAAAATTTTGCACTCTTAGATTGATCTACTATGTGAAAAATGAAGACAATTTTTTTTTTCCAATTTACAATATGTTATTCCTTAGCCTTGGAACTTGAGTTAGAAGCACTGTCAGGAGTGTGTTTTCCTCAGGTTGCAGGATGAGTAAGAGAAGACCAGAAGGAACCCAAACCTCCCTTTTGAAACAAAGACTTTAATTAGTTATAGTTGTGGAAGCATTGATGTTGTCTTCTGTATACACTAAAAGGATATGAATCTGACTTTCTTGGCTGATGTATGAAGCACGTATTGGGGTGGCTCCATCCTCTGAATCTGTGGAAACATTGCACATATTGTGGTGAACCTTGTGGACTCACCACACTTTCCCCCTTCCTTTTGAACACAGCACTTCCTCTCACAGAGGCTGCATTGAATCGCAGATGTGACCTTACAATGAAGGTAGCTGCTGACTAACCCACCCAGGCAACATCTTCTCTCCTAAGCAGAGTGTTTTAAATTCCTGACCAGGAAATAAATCTGTTAACATAATGTCAGCTTTGACTTGCGTGGACCCTGTGTGTGTCAGAGCACCATATTGAAAGCACATCTCTATGTCTGTCTTATGAAGAGCAGTGGGGGGACAGAGCCCTTGTACTTTGTGGCTAACAGGAGAGTACATTAATCATGTACACCATCCAGCACTCAGGGATTCCAAATTACTGACTCGGTTATAGAATAGATACAGCTCTCTGAAAGAACAGAATCCTTAACTGGGTTGATTTGTTGTTATTTGGTGCCATTGAGTTGAATATGACAAATGGTAACTGTATGAACAACAGCTGAACCTTGACCTATGCTGTGCCACCCTCACCATTTCTGACATAATTGAGCCCATTGCTGTAGTCACTGTATCAGTCCCTTTGAGGGTCTTTATCTCCTTTGCTGTCCCCTGACCTTTCCCAGCATGATGTCCCTCTCCAATGAATAGCCTCTTCTAGCTACATGCCCAAAGTATGTGGGACAAAGCTTTGTTATCTTTGCCTCCAAGGAACACTGGCTGCACTTTCCTCCAGGTATACCTGTTTGTTCTTTTGGCAGTCCGTAGGATATTCAGTACTCTTCTCCATCACCACAGCTCAAAAGCATCAGTTCTTCTTTCATCCTTATTGTCCAACTCTCATATGCATAGCAAGTGAGGGAAAACCTTTGGCTTGTATCCAGTGCTCCTTGGTCTTTAAACTGACATCAGTGCTCTTCTGTATTTTGGAGAGGGCTCATTTGGGAGCCTAAAATTAGGATGGCTATCTGGCCTAGTTTGTGCTAAGCCTGTTTATTAATAGCAGCCCATTTAACCCTTAGAACTTTCTTATTTTGGAGGAGAAATTACATGATTACCTTCCCCAAAATGATTGGAGAAACAGTGACTTTGTTTCAGAGACAAGTAGAAGAGTAGAAGAGTCTCTTTACATTTTATGAGTCCAAGAAGATGTGAAGTTAGTCTCTTCTGCCTCAAACAGTCTTGTGTTTTACCTGGACATATAGGCCACCCCCAAGGATGTCTGCTTGTACTGCTGAATCAAGAATAAAGAAGTGTTCACATTAGAACACTGAAAAATCATCTCTTTTCAATGCTCTGGTGGCCTAGGGCATAATGTATTATACACCTAACTGAAAGGTCAGTAGTTTGAATCCACCAGCCACTTGTTGGGAGAAAGATGGGCAGTCTTCTTTCATGAAAATATGTAAGTTTCAGAAACCGAGTGGAGGTCACAGTTAGTTGGAGTCAACTCCAAGACAATGAATTTGGTGTTTGGTTTTAAGTGACAATACTTGTAAAAAATCAAGTTGATAAATCAGGTAGTTGAACAGGAAGTTAAATGAGTCAAAAAATAAAATGAACATTAGGAGAGCGTGTCTTACTACACCTTGCTAGAGTAGAGCCTAGTGGGTGACAGCACACACAGGCCCAGGTTCGCATTCTGACTGCCACTTGTTATCCATCTGCAGGAAAATGCTTAACTTTGCGAAGTCTTGGTTCCCTGATTTATGCTGTTGTTTTGTGTGTCATCTAGTTGATACCCAGTTCGTAGTGGTCCCATAAACACCAGAACAAGCCTGCCTGGTCCCACTCCAGCCTGTGATTGGCTGTAGATCAAATTGCTGTGAGTCAGAGGCAGTGAAAATATCAGCCAATGAAAATCTAATGGGGCTAATCAATTACCCATCTACCAGAATTGAGGATTAAATTAACTAGATGTTGTTAAGTGCCCTTGATTATGACTCATAGCAACCCTATAAACAATGACTCTGAACCTTGCCCTATCCTGAGCCAATCTCACCATCTCTGATACACCTGACTCCATTGCCACAGTCACTGTGTCAGTCTATCTCATCCAGGGTGTTCCTCTCCTGCACTGACCTTTTACGTTTCCAAGCATGATGTCCTTCTCAGGACTAGTCCTTCTGGTTGTTGTTGTTGTTATGTGCCCTTGAGTCACCTGCCACTCATAACAACCCTATGTCCAACAGCCCTAAACCCTGCTCTATCCTGTGCCAATCTCAATGTCTCCGACACATCCACCCTCATTACTCCAGCCACTGAATCAATCCACCTCATAGAGGGTCTTCCTCTCCTGTGCTGTTCCTCCACCCTCCCAAGAATGACATCCTTCTCCAAGGACTGGTCCCTCCTTGCAACATGTCCAGAGTATGTCAGATGAAGCTTCAGAATCTTTGTCTTCAAGAAGCAGCCTGTTTAACATGCCGAAAGTATGTGAGCTGGAGTTTCAAAATTATTGTCTCCAAGGAGCAACCCTTTCTATTTGTTCTCTTAGCAGTCCATGGTGTGTTCAATACTTATCTCCAGTACAACTCAAAGACATTGATTCTTCTTCTGTTATCCTTATTCATTGTCCGGGTCTCAGATGTATAGCAAGCAATTGAGAAGACCATGGCCTAGATCAAGTGCACCTTAGTCTCTACACTGACATCATTGCTCTTTAGCACTCTGGAGATGTCCTTGATAGAGGACTTTCCTAAAGAAACTCCTCTTTTGAGTTCCTGAATAAGTATGATGTCTGTCCAACATATAATGCTACACATGCGCACATGTAGTCAGACACTCATGCCTTCTTCTATTTGGGTGTGCCTAAATTCCTGTGGTTTTCCACCTTGCTGTTGTAGAAGCAAACTCAAGTTTAACAGTTAACTCACCTCACAAAGATGGTGCTCTTGCAAGACCTGGGACAAAGGCTTCTTTCATCCCTGCATGAGAAAGCTTTCAGCAAGCTGGAATGTAAAGATTGCACAAATGAACTCTGGTCCTAGCTGAAACTCTCCCAGGGTAATAAAAATACCTTCAGGCCCTTTCAGAATTAGTTGAATAATGCTGTAGTTCTAAGCAGAAACGTCTGGAGGGCTAATATTTTAATTCTTACATTCCAGTTTGGTTAAAAGAAGCTGACATCAGTGTCATCATTTAATGAGTGCTATGAATAGACATACTTTGGGCATGTTATCTGGAGGAGCCAGTCTCTGGAGAAGGACATCATACTTTGGAAAGTGAAGAGTCAGCAAGAAAAGAGAAGGCCCCACCCCACCCCAGGAGAAGCCTGATATAGTAGCCTAATGAGGAGGTGAAACATAGCAAGGATTGTGAGGCTGGTACTATGAGGCAGGACTGGGCAGTTTTTCATACTGTTGTACATGAAGTCATGATGGGTTGGAATAGACTTGACCACACCTAGTAATAGCAACAGTGAATGTCATACCTCTAAGAACTTTCAGGGCATTTCTCCTCCTTGTTGAAGGGAACACAGATCCTTGAACAAAAGTTTAGGTCATCTAATAC